CGGGGCGGGTGGCTGGGCGTGGCGGGGCTGGGTCCTGGGGGATGGGGACGCGAATTTGGGAGGGCGGCCCCCTCAGTAGCGAGTGTCTGAGCACCCCTTGCTAATAAGCCCTTAACGCCGAGGAGGCTTTGTGCCCTCCCTTCCTGCAGTCGCCGCGCATCCCCAGGAAAAGGTGATTTTTTTTTTTTTTTCCTTTTTTTTTTTTTTTTTTCTTCCTGGCAGGTTCCTTACCAGCAGGTATGAACTTAGCCCTCCTTTGCGGGTATTTTTCTCAGCTGACCACATTATCTTCTGTGTCTGTTCCTTGTTTAGAGTCCAAAAAGTGTCATTTCCTGAGCCTCTATGGCACGGCGCAGATAAGCATCCGGAGGATGTGTATAAACCTGCCTTGCTCCTTGGCAGCTGCGAGTAGGGTAGATGCTTGTGCTTTGCCGTGCTCGTCAGATGGTTATTTACCGGTTGCTCCTCAAATCAGGTTCCTTAATATATGATTTGCAGTGGCTGGCAGCATAATATCTTATTATTGCGGGCTAAGTGCAACCACATCTTCAGAGCCTGTTTTAAAAACGGGGGAGTAAAGAAAACAAACAAAAAAAACTTTGTTTCTAGAACGTTAAGGGAGCTGCCTGGATCCTTCTGTCAGGCCCAAGCATTGAGTGCAAATAAACCCCCTCCAAAACCACAAGAAAATGTGCAGCTTTCTAGACCCCGAGGCGCTGGTTGTTGCAGACTGAAAGCGGTGCTGGCCTGGGGCTTCTGGCTCGAGGGCTGTTGCATAATGGCTGTGGCGGGGTTCAAAAGTTGAGGAGTTGTCCTTTGCGCTTCCCAGGGACAGGGCATGGGGTTGACATCACTGGAAGCTTAGCGAGTTAAAATTACACCCGCTGGCTGAAGGCGTACGCTTGCTTCCAGCTCCCGTTTCAGGCAGGATTTGCTCGAGAAGCTTTTGCTTGAGAGTTTCTTCAGGGAAAGGCCCTCGGTGATCTAAATATATCTTAATCTAAACCAAGCTGCTGGGAAGCAGCTTCTCAGAAGAGAAGAGAGGCTAGAAGGGAGGGCAATCCTAATTTTTAAGCTATAAACAGGCCTTAGGGAGTGGAGTTGCATGTGGATGCGTTGAGGATTAAGACTTTGTCTGGTGCTTTACACGAACTTCTTCCTAAGGTGGTAACGCGCATATGGAGGAAGCAAAACCCCTTTTGATCTGTGCCTGCTTTCTTCCCGGCGCTGCCCTGCGTGTGCTGCTCTCCGGACCCTCGCTGGCTGCTGCTGCGAAGTTTTGGGGGGAGGATTGTGGTGGCCTGCAGGTCTGGGCTAGGCGAAGCCCCAGCGCTGCAGGCAGGGCTCAGCGGCTGAAGGGGTCTTGTGTCTTGACTTCTGCATGTGCCAGAGGAAGCAAAACTGGGAAGTGTCGTGAACTGTTTTGCATGAAAACTACTGCCTTGCTCTCTCTTCCCCCCGCCCCCCCCACCCCCCAACTACACTTCATTATCCAGCTTCTCCATGCCTTGGCCGCAAGTTGGAGCGAGCTATCAACAGTACATTGTTGGCTGGGGGTGAGGGAGGAGGGAAGGGAATAACAAAGGTGCCAACAGCTTTCTGGGGGTGGGGAATGGCACAGCAAAGTGCTTTGTCATGCCTCTCGACATCCACTACTACTGAATACACACTGGTCCATTGATAGCCCCACTCCTGCCGTGAGGAGGAACTGTATTAATGCAAAACTGAGCCTGTGTGCAAAATGGGTTTGCCCTGAGACATCTCCAGCACAACTGCTTAATATCTTTCCCCCGGTGCGTTTAAACAGCCTTTTCTCCAAGCAGGGTCTGCTGTAGGGCCGTGGCGCATGAGAACGCCGCTGGAGAGCCCACTCTTGCGAACCTGGAGGAGGAGAAAATACGTGGAGGAAGAATATTTGTGTTTCCTGTAGCAAGATTATTTTGGTATGAGATGGCAAGCCAAGATCTTGGCAAATTCTGCCTATGTTGTAATGGCGGTTGCGAGTTGGTTTTTGGCGTGCAGAAATGCCACATTTCAGTGGTTCAACTGCAGTCCGGTATACGCTCTAGCATGCTGTATAGGCAGTTCAGGTGATTCTGCTAGTGCAGCTCGGTACTTGGTCTTCAGATCCTTAAGCCTGTCTCCCTCCTGGAGAGGGATTAGAGTGGAAAACCACTGCCTTGGGACAAGCTCAGGTGAGAAGCTTTAGGACAGGAAGTAAGTTGTCGATACATCTACAGAGCCTGCCCCTTACAGCCCTGTTCCTCGCTCTGTGTGTTTAGTGAAAATCTTCATGCTCCCCTGTATTTTGGTGCTGTTTACATAGCTGGCATGTTTCATAATGGGAACTCTGGGGAGCGACTGGTTTCTCTGTGTTGCTTTCTTGCAGGCTTCGTGAGTGGAATACCGCTGCTGTGCCGTGCCTCAGCAAAGGGCTTTTGTGGTTCTGATAAAGGGAGCAATGCTCCAGAAATAAAACCGTTTGCTTTTGTGAAGTTCTCAAAAGCTGGGCAGATATCAAAGCCTGCGTTCAAAGTGATCCTGGAAGACCGCGTGTAGGACAGCCAAACAAACTTGGAAACTGCAGGGGAAACTTGTTTTCTTGCTTTTAAAAGTAGATCTGTGGGGTGAACTGGTAATTTTTAAGGCTGCTCTGAAGGATGCTTCTATGGTGTTCCATTTGCATGTGAAAACAACTCCGATGTTGCAGAGCATGTTGGAAGATATCTGAGGAACCAGCCCTTTCACTCCTCCTCATTTTGCAAACGTGAAACTTAAGCCTCTTCCTTCTGGGTCCTGTTGATCTATTTGTAGATATTTGTCTATAGAAAACATGTGCTCATCTGGTCATGTGTTTCCAGCCATCTGCTGCTGGTGCTCTGCCAGGTGTCCCTTATTAGCATGAGGTTGCTCAGCACTCTCTCCAGGCTCTGGGCTGCAGAGCCACTCCTCCATTTCTAACCGCTGGTTTCCGATACAACTTGGGCAGCGAGTGTTTGTAACGTGGATGTCCGGACCCTGTAAAGCCCTGATAGCTGCCTCTGATGTGCTGCGGAGAAGCGGGGATACGAGTGGTGTGGGGTCACGAGGAGCCACAGCAGCCGAAATGTGATCCCTGCTAATGTAACCTGGTGTTCTCTCTTTTTTTTTTTCTTGCAGTAGTATTTTACCTTTGAGTAACTGTCCCCAGCTGCAGTGCTGCAGGCACATTGTTCCAGGGCCTCTGTGGTGCTCCTGATGCCCCTCACCCACTGTCGAAGATCCCCGGTGGGCGAGGGGGTAGCAGGGATCCTTCTCTTTCAGCTCTGATATATAAGGTGAGAAAGATCTGACATCTAAATAATGACCTGTACCCATGTTGCAAATGTGTTCGGTTCCTTTTGCGGTCTGATGGGAATAAATGCAAACAACTCCAAGGCAATAACTGGGAGAACAGTTAATTTTTCAGCAGCCCTGTTGGCAGATCGGTTTGCTGCGTGTGGTGGCTCTCCCGCTTAAATATCCCTTGTTTATTAAGAAATGAGAGACCTTTTCTCAAAGTTGTGCAGCAAAAAACTCGCTAGCCTTGTTCCCAGAGGTCTGTCTCTGCTGTTGTATGCAGAGCCAGCGTTAATCAAAACATGAAACAGCTTCTCCAGTGTCTTGCACAAAGTGGAAGCGGGAAGCAGAAAGGTGAAGTGCAGAGAGAATGGTTGATAAGCTCCTTCCTGTGCCCTCGTCCGGAAGGTAAAGCTGTTGGGGCCTGAGAGCTGCCTGAACCAACCTATGGAGTGACTCCTGACTTTGCAAAAGGGCGAGGTGGCCGACCGCCTCACAGATGGGGAAGTTTCTAGAACACGTGCATGGGATGAGGGTGAGGTCAGGAAGGCTTTGTGTCTGCAGACGTGGATCCATGTAGTTCTCCTTTTTTTTGGTCCTCTGTTCTACGGGACGTCTCCTTTCGAATGAGGAGAGCTGGCTGTTCCTTGCCCAGTAATTGGCACTCATGCAACTTCATGCCATGGTGGCATGCATCTGCCTCCCTGCTGGGGCAGGGGCAGCTTTCCCACAAGGCAAGGAGTACAGTGCTACCAGATGAGGTAGCCCAGATTTGTGCTCAGCTTGCAAATTTGGCTGTTCAGACAGGAGTGTTGTCATAGGTGTTAGACTTGATTTTTAATTACCCCGTGGGAGGCACACAGGCTTAACAGGATGAAAAGATGCAGGCCCTTGTGGGTCACAGCTACCAAAGCCTCCTCTTGAAATTCCTGAGAGAATCGGAGACCTCACAGCTGCTTTCAGAGGAGTTTTCTTTTATGTGGCCTTGGTGAATTTTTAGCATGTGCCTTGCTCATTTACCTCATGAATAAATGTCAGCCTCTGCAGCCTCTTAATAATAACGTAATAATCAGTTTAATGCTGTGGAGTTGAATCATCACTGATGTTAGAGGGGTGTGAAATCCCAAGAAGCAGCAGAGCACAACAGGCTTCTTGGTGGGTAATGGAGATGCGTAAATAGCTTCAGGAGGGGTTCGGGACAAATAGTGAATTCTGTCTGGGTGGGAGAGGATGAGAAATAGGGGACCCTGCCACTTGAATTCTTGCAGGCTAGCTTTGCCAAGCCTTGGTACACACCAGGTGAGGCTTGGAGGCAGAAAATAGGCTCAATGTGGAGGAGATGCTGGTGGAAAGAACCATAGTTTGGAGGCTTTGAAGTGTTTGATTTCAATGTGGCCTTGAATTAGCATAGAAGCTTTTGGCAGCGGTGTGTAGGGCAGGGGTTGGTGCCCGTGGGGATGTTATCAGGATAGCAGCATCCCAGAAATACGGATACAATTCTTGCTGGGTTTACTGCTGACAAAACCTAGCAGAATTTGTCAGAAAATCAGCACCTTCATAGCTCATTCCAGAGCAGAGTGGGCTGCGTTGCCCGGTGGTTTAAAGTCTGGCCTTAGACAGAGGTTTGTGGGACCCTCCCTGCCCCTCTCTGTTGCCCGCTCAATCTAGCGGTGCTGTAGTTAACATCAGGCTGAGCTTTTCGGCCAGCAAGCTTCAGCGTGACCTGGAAAGCCATCTGGACCCAAAAATTAAGTACTTTCTCCAGCTGCATCAGCTGTTCTAGTTCAAGGCACGACCTTTCTGAACGAGCCTGCCTCCTTTGGAGTACGCAGCACAGGGCTTGTGTACAGACGCGCTGTAAATTAAGTATCTGGGGTTCCCTATAGTGGTTGGGATTTTTGTGTTGAGAGACTTTATACTTGTCCCTTCGTCAGGGGAGCTTTATTTGAGCTGGGAATGCAATAGCTGATCGGCTGTGTTGGCGCTGCACAGCCAGGACGGGCTTTGTGCGGACAGACGTGCTCTGGCTCGCAAACTTGGCAGGAGGCTGCAGGTGTAGCACGTGCCAACAGTAGGCTGCTTACACGGGTTTCTCAAGTCGCTTGGCCGTGGTGGAGCATAACATCCTTCTTTCTTACGCTGCCAGCATGTAGGGGCCTCCCTGTCCTTCTCAGGACATCTGACGAGGAGAGCTGGGCTGGAAAATCTCGTGCTCAATGAATTGTAACTGAGTGGAAGCTGGTCCTTATGGCTTTACTTTGGTGAAGTGGAGCCCAGGGCTGGAGAGCTGGTGGTTTAGGCAGCTGTGTATAAAAGATAGCCTGGTGGGTGTGGGGGTTTTGGTTTGGTTTTTTTTTTCTCCCTCCCACAATAGCGTGGGGGGGGATTTTTGCAGGGCTGAACTAAACCTGAACATTTGTTGCATAAACAGGATTTTGCTTTGAGCAGCTTCCAAAGAATTCTGGGCTGCTATGTCACAGGAACTGCTTTTCTCTCCCCAGCATCTTGCTGTCTCTATTTTGATGCCTAGAAGTAAAACATGGGCTGCCCAAGACAGGCTGTGTAAATGAAGTTCCCACTGAAGGGTGGGAAGTGGTTCTTTTAATCCCCGCGGTTATGCTGCCTCTGGGTCACGGGCTGTCACATTATGGAGCTTTTAAGTGGAAAAACCTCGAAACCTCACTCGGTTTGGAGTGCGGGGCAGAACTTCTGGTGACAGAAGGGCTAAGCCAGAAGGCTCGGAAAGCTTTTTCCCTCCTATTGCAGGCTCCTGCCAGTCTTCCTGCAGAAATGCATGCATGTGCCTCCCCCTCCAACGTGTCAGTCCCAGCCTGCTTTTCTCCACTTCCTCACTCTGCTTCACTTTTTGTGAAGCATAAGAAAAGAAGCATCTGTGAGCTTCTCTCCAGAGAAGGATCTTTTCTGAAACAGAGACAGTTTTTGCACAGTAACAATTGTAAAAGTCTCCTGTAAAGTCACTGGTGAAGGATGTGCGTATAACCCCTTGTGGTTTGGTTTTGTCTTTTTTTTTTTTTTTTTTTTAAAAGCCCCCTCTGTAGCATGGAGCTGTTGTTGGGCTCCAGCCTGACTCCTGCCGCTGGCTCTGTGGTGGCTTTATCGGCAGCGGTCTGATCTAACTTGAGCAGCTGTCAGGAGGTTTCTTAGCGTGCTTGGCTTAGAACTAGCAAAACCCGACAGCAGGCACAGCCACAAAAACTTCTTTCAAACTTGATGAATAAACTTATTTCCTACAGGATATTTGTTCTGATGAAGTGTAAACTTGTTTTTCAGCTAAGCTTTGTGGGCTTTAAACAAACGCAGCTTCCTCTGCTCCGGTTACCAACGCCAGGCAGTTCCTGATTTGCATGTGGTGTTACTTATTCACGCTCGATGGCTTCTTCCTTGTCACAACAGTCAAAGCAAGAGGGATCTATTTTAATACACATGGTAATAAGAATTAAGGCACCGGGGGACATGTTTGAGGAGCCTAGAAAAGGTCTCGGAGATGTTTTTGCTGAACCACTGGTCTTGCAGCAGTGCTTAAAAGACTACAAGAAAACACCTGCTTGAAAAGCAGTGCTACTGAGGAGTCTTCTGCCCTCTTGCTGGGCTGCCAATGTGTTTGTACTGCCCGTCTTGCAAACGTTGCTCCACTGCAGATCCAAACCGGACTCAGTTTTCTGTGCTGTACTGGCTGCCTGCGTGTGTCACGGTCAGAGATGAGCATGTGCCACCACAAACCTTGCCTGGTGAGGTGCTCTCTTCCTGCAGCCATGTCACTTGTCTTATTGTGGATCCAGCTGATTGTCAGCAGATCAGAGTTCAGTGTCAGCTGCTGAATTAATCACCCTGATAGAATAAAATGCCTGGAGGCTGGGTCACTCACCTAATGACCTGATGGAGTAAACCACCTCCCACCCTGCCTGTTGATGCCCTTGATGAGAGGGGGGCACATGGCTTTCCCAGGCATCCCCGTGACTCAGGAACGGAGCAAACATGATTTGTATTATCCAGTTTACTTCTGCTCTTCAGAGCTGCGCAGGTGACTTTGTAAACATGAGAGAATGGGGATGCGTGAGCCTGTAACCAAGCAGATAGGAACGGTTTCGCTTCCGCTGCACTTAACAACGTTAATGTGGGAACCTAATAGATTTCTTTGCCGTTTCATTGGGGCTCTTTGCAGCGAAACGTGGAAACCATTATTGGGCAAGCCAACTGTCAGGAGGAGGAATGGAGTTTTAGCCACGGAATTGTTTTCTCGGAACTGCTGAGCTGAATCTGAGGTGGTCTGCATGCTTGGCATTCTAGTTAGAGTAGTGCTGGAGAGGGACATGTATGTTTGCAGTCTCTGGGAAAAGACCTCATCACAATCTTCAAATCCATGCAGCTTCTGTCTGTTTGGGGATTCTCTCTGTGCTATCTGTTTTCCTCCCTTATCCCAGGAGGCAAACTGCTTGCCATACCAGTTGGTTGTAAAATCTGGGAGAGCACTTTGTGGTCATCCCTTAAATGAGACTACTGTGGTGGGGACTGGGGAGATGATGAAAACTGGTCAGGCTGGGGCAACAGAGGCTCTCCCAGCTCATCAGTTCAGGTTGCCTTCTTTTGAAGGGCAGTTTGTGAACCACCCTTCGAAGACGGGGCTGGGACCTGTGGTGAATGAAGGGACGCTGGCTACCCAGCAAATGAGTGTAATGTAAATCCTCAAAACTGTATTCCCTTAAATAGGAAAGTGTGACTAGAAAATCACTTGAGGTCTGAGTACACATTGCGGTGTGTCCCGAGCCCATGGAAAGGGAAAGGAAAAATAGAATGTTCCTCTTGGTACAACTGCAATACCATTTATTTTGCATTCTCATCTCTCTAGTTCTACTCCCCTGGCTGCTCAGCATGTAGGACTTTTTTTTTTTTTTTTTTTTTTTTTTTTTTCCCCCCCTCTTTATTTTTGTATTGGAATAGAATAAAAGCAAGGTATTCTGGAAAATACAGGTAGTTCAGAACAATAGCAGTTAACCGCTTACTTGTTTAGAGTGCTGAGGCTCAGGTGTAAGCTTGCAGCTGACCCTGCATACCTTCACAAGCTGTGGTGAGTCTCACGGTGGTGACTTTTAGTGCTAGGCTGAACCTCTGGACACGCTCCGGTCTGCAGGGGCCGCCCTTTTCCAGGAGGGTGCTCCCCCTGCATGCAGTCCCTTTGCATGCTCGCTTCAGTGCGGTCTCTTATTTTTTTTTTTTTTTGGTCTACAATCTTACAGATAGTTTTCTTTTAACCCTAACGCATATTTCATGAGCTCTCCTCCTTCCCCTGCGCAGGATGAGAAGATCACTGTTAACCAAGATGTCCCAGTGCACGAAGGGAAGCCTCATATTGTCCACTTCCAGTACAAGGTCACAGAGGTGAAGACCTCTTCCTGGGATGCAGTGCTCTCTAATCAGAGCCTCTTTGTGGAAATCCCTGATGGGTTATTAGCTGATGGAAGCAAAGAAGGGTAAGTTTGGGGATCCCAGAGCTGTGTCTGTGGCTCCGTGGGGAGCAGGGCTTGGCCTACAGGGGTGATGCTGCGCGTGCAAGGAAAATGGGCTGTATGTACGGCAGTGCTCTTCCTAGCTTGAGCATCTAAAATAATGCCCTCGCTCCCTTGTCTTCAGAGAAGCGTCCTCTTGTTAGTCCTCCTTTGTGATCGTTTCGGTTGGGTTATAAGCAATAAATGAGTGGGGTGATCCTTTGCATGCTTCTGTTTGGAAAATCTGCAAGCCTTTCTCTGATTTTTGTTCTGCTGGCCACTTGGCAAGCTTATTTTGGCAGGCATTTTCCTCTCTTCTTGGGGGGAAAAAAAACCCCTCCATTATACTGATGTGCTCCTTCTCATCAGCAGATGGATCTGCTCTTGGAGTGCTGCCATGCAGGCACTGGGCTCTGCCAGAGTCGCTGATTTTTCTCTGTTGGCAGAATACAGTAGTGTTTTGTCCAGACAGCTCTGCTCTGGGAAGTTTGTGTAAACGCAGCTTCCAGAGCAGCTACTTCCTGCCAAGTGCTTTGCCAGAGATCCCTGCCAGTGGGGAGCACCGCAGCCTAGATGTGGCTTCACTGGGTTGTTTTGCAAAGCTCTCTGAACTCCTCCTAAATCTCCAAGTAGGCTTCGTCCCTAAATGACGCAAGCTAATTAAGAGAAAAAAAAGAAAACAAACCCAACTCGTTGGGCTCTTTCAGTGAGTGCCGGTGTTCTTGCTGTCTCACACTTGTCTCATCTGACTCCGAGTCCAGATAAATGTTTGTGTAATTTCTTCGGTCGGCCTGTAAATCCTTGACCTGTCCAAGCACCTGCTCTCTTGGGAGCGCACGTTGGGAGGGAATTTACCTGCCCATGTCATCGTGACTTAAAGCGCAATTTTGCAAGGTTATTTTTAGCTAGGTAAAACAGCCTAGTAGAGGCTATAATTAAAATAGTTCATTACCATATTAACAAAACTCTTGCAAATTTAATCTCCCTTGCTGCACTCCAGTCCGCTGCTGTTTAATTAGATGTTGACTGAAGCCCTGTTTGTCACTGCTCTAGCAGCCTGCATCGTAAGTAGTTCTGAGGCCAGCAGTGACAGTGATGGCTCTGCTGCGCTGGTCCCCAGGGCTCCGAGAGGGGTTAATGCAGCGCTGCTTCCATCAAGAGGTGGCAGAAATAATTTAGCTGGAAAGGCAGGAAGCGTGAATTCCAGGTGCATCAGCTATGCTGTCCAGCTGATGTGTTCAGGGAACAGCTTTGCCTGTGTACACGCTCCTTCAGTGAGGTTTTTCTCCTCTCTGCCTGGCATGAGCTTTTTTGTTTGGTTCCCCCCCTCCCCCCATAAAGCACAAATCTTGCAGAGCCCCTCGTGCACGTTGCCAGCGGAGGGGATGTCGCCTGGCTGGGGATCGGCTGCAGTGCTCAGCTCCCGGTGTATGAAGGCTTCTGTACAAAATCACCACTGGTGGGGATGGGTGCTTGTGCGTGCTGGTGTGGGGATGCTGAGGACAGGGACAGTGATTCACCAGATGGCTGGGTGTGAGGATAGCTCTTAGTTCTGCAGGGCTGGATAGCAAAGCAGGAAACCCATTGTTTCAGCACCCATTGTTTGCTGGAAAGGGGCTGTGAACAAGTAATCTTTCTGCCTGAAAACATCCAAACAGTTGATCATGCCCAGAGGCTTCCTCAGGACAGGACTTCCTATAGCTGATGTTCCTTTGTCTTCCTCCTCCTTGGCAGGTTATCAGCACTGCTGGAGTTTGCTGAAGAAAAAATGAAAGTAAACTATGTCTTTATTTGCTTCAGAAAAAGCAGAGAAGACAGAGGTGAGAACTCGCCCCCGCTGTCAGGTTTGCTCCCCGGATCTGAAATGGTGCTGCTGAAGCTGCACAGAAATCCAGTAATCCCAAGGCAGGGCTCCATGGGACGCTCCCTATAGCAGTACCTGCTCTATGCCTAATTCTCATGGCGTTCTTACACCTGAGAAATAGTTTCTTGTGGAGGAAAGAAGCCCTTTCTTGAGATAAGGGAGAGGGGGGAGTATTTTGGGTTCTCCAGCAGACACGCTTGGCTATCCCGTTAAATTATTACTGGCGCTCTAGGGCAGAAAGCTGCTGCTGATTGATTTGGGAGTGTTTTCTTGCAGTTAATTTTTCTCCTTCGGTAAGGAGCGAAGGTCTGCATTTGGCACCAGGCTTCTGTCCTTTGGAAGGAGAGACCAGGGAGGGTTATTACATGGGAAATGAATGCTCATGGCTTCTTGCCCTGGTGCTCATCTGCTTTTTAAAGATCTCCCGGCAGTTTTGCCCTTCCTAGACCTACACATAATCCTGACCCTGGCTGTGGATGCTTATGGCTTAAGGGGGCTGCGTTAGGATCTAAAGATAGATGTGTCAAGACAAGCGGTTACAGCGCGGAATTTTGAGGGGATTTGCGGTGAGGTACCAGGCTATGGATGTGTCACTTGAAATCTTGGGAGGCGCAGACTGGTAACCAAGCAAATTGCCATGGCAGGAGTAATTCAAACCTTAATTCTCATTTTATGCTGCTGCTGCACTGTCCATTCTGAAATGAAGTGCGTTATTGGTGCTAAGCTGCGGGAAGATGTCATTCCGTGTTATGACGCCAAGAATAATTCCCAGATTAAGTTCTTGCTATAATGTCACCACCATCACAGGTTGCATAGGTGACCTCCATGGTGGCTGGGTACAGGAGACATCGGATGCTGGGGTTTGTTTTTAAAAACGGGCCAGGTGTTGCTCTTGGACCTGGCTTATTTGTATGAGTTCTGGAAGCACTTCGGGTCCTAGACCCTTGCCTACACAGTTGAAATTCAGCGCTGTCTTGAAAATACACAGGAGCTCCTCCGCACGGCCATTCAGCGGCTGGAAGCCGATCACCAGAGGGTGCCATGGAGATGAGATGCTGTGCTGGGGTAACTTCCACGGATCACAGGGGGACGATAGCTTCCGTGCATCCAGTCCCTGTGTAACACAATCCGGCCTGACCGAGGCGAGGTGCCTGCAGGGACTGAGCCTGCTCTGAATTTGTTCTGTGCCCAACCTGTGGCCTGCGGGTGGCTTTCCTGGGGGACTGCGCCGAGCTGTGCTGAGCTCTCTTTGAGCTTCCACTGAGCTCTGGGTCCTCCTCCCAGCGATGGCAAGTTTCTGCCTAGGCCCCAAGTAAGCAGCTTCCTGTTTGCTGCTGTCTGACCCGCATCCAGGGCTCGGAGGGTGCTGGGGCCTTCGTAAGCCCAGGATAAGATCTTGGATGTGCTGCAGGATGGCCACGTGCATCCTGGGAAAGCGGCTCTGTGAGGCTGGGGCAGGTAGATAACCAACCATTGGTGTTCTTGGGGTGTGGGGGGGATAGGACAGAACACCCACCAGAGGGTAAACATGGATGAACCTGCTGGGCTGCAACACTAAAATCCCCTTCACGCTTAGGAGGAGCTGTGGTGAATACAGGAACAGACAAAACATCCTATTCAAGAGGTTCAAATGGTTTATTTCTGCACAGGAGGGTGTTCAGTGTGCTGTGGTGTTCATGGCTTCTAGAGTGGTGCAGGTAAAGAATATTTTTCCTGGTGGTAACAGTTTCCTTCTCTTCGGTAGCTCCACTCCTGAAGACATTCAGCTTCTTGGGCTTTGAGATCGTGAGGCCTGGCCACCCCTCTGTCCCGTTGCAGCCAGATGTGATGTTCATGGTGTACCCCCTGGATCAGAACTCTTCCTCTGATGAAGAATAGCTGCAGCAGGGGACTCCACTGTGACCTGAAATGCTGTTGAGGGGAGAGAGGGTTACATCTCCTTTCTTGAGGAAAGGGAAAACAAGCTTCTGTTGGACTGAAACTGCATTGCTCATTGTTAGATTGGCCCGTGTATCTTCAGAGTTGACTATCTCATTGAAATGTGTTGCCTAGAGAACTATATATCCACACATGTAATCACCAAATAGTAAAGGAAAGATGTTTATGAACTGGCATAGGAGCTCTTTACATGCAGCTGTGTGGTGCGTTAGCCTAAGGGTGCCCCCTGCCCAGGCCCTGCAGTGGGGAGCACAGCTGTAGATGCAGCATCAACTCCTTGAGTTCCCTTCCCCATCGCCCCGTGTGCACTCGTCTGACCGACTGCCTGTTTATTTTTCACTCAGACTCTTAAGTAGGAGGCGTGTTTGGGGCATGAGGAGATGTGCTTGAGTTTAACACTACATTAAAACCCCCCTACATCTCCCCTTTGGGGCAACTGATGCTGGTTTAACTGGTCTAACTTTTTTTTTTTTTTTAAACTACTTGCTCTTCTGGCTTTTGTTTTAAGCAGTCTTAACTCTGTTCAATGTTACTACTGCACTATTTCGGCGTTCAATAAAAGGGGCATTCAGATGAACTTCGCACAGCTGGGGCTGCTTATTTGCAAGGCAGAGAGCCTCCTGTGGGCCTCCCCTAGGGCTGCCCTGGTTTCGGAGGGTCAAGTGAGCGTTGAGAGTGATGCCTCTGCCCCAGGGAATGCTTCCCTGCCTGCCTCCAGTCCAAGGAGAACCTACAGCCTGTGCCTTGATCCACGGATGGGTAGGGAGCAGGCCCGTGGCTGTCACCTCGGTTCTTCTTCCTGTCACCTTTCCAAAGAGATGATCTTCAGACTTGAGATGCCCCAGCTCACGGCTGTGTCCAAACCAAAGGGGTTTGCCTGGAGGAGCAGGCATGGCTGGTGGCTCTGCTGGGTGCTGTGGAGTGCTCTCCCCATCTAGGGGCTTTCCTGGGATGGAGGGATGGGGCTGTGGTGCTGGCGGTAGCTTCTGTCTCATCCCTACCCCTTCTAATGCTGGAGAATGAGGTTGCGCTCCTATCTTCGTGCTGTTTGGATGTAAGCTGGTGGCTTTGTGAAGGCTGCACGAGAAGGGGGTATTCATAACCCGTGCCCCGAGCCGTGCCCTCAGCTCTCCTCTAGGCCTGGCTGCTTGCCTGTGGAATTGTCCTTGTGTGCTTTGTTGTGCTCTCGCCCTTCTGTGGAGGATTTTGTTAAAAGCTGAAGCCGAGCCATTCCATAAACATCATGGTCAGTGTTTTTCTGTTTGGGGGAGAGAGGTGGGGCTGGGATACAAGTTTGTGTGAATAAATCATCTTAAAGTTTGTGTCTCTCTTCCTTCCTTCCCCTCCAAGGGCATCAAAGGGCTGGTGGCTCTGCTCCCTCTTCTGTGGCGCATTAAAGCCTAAGTCTGGTTTAAAATTAGAGGCTGGGCTCTGCTGCTGGGCCTGTCTCTGCCCTAGCTTTTATGGTGGGGCCATCTTGTGCTGCTTGCGGCCCCTCCTGGCCTTGCTCTGAGTGCCATGCAGGGACAGAGGAGACCCTGCACCTATTCCTAGCTGAAACAAGGCTGAGTTCTAGTTCTGGCTTTTGCAGGGCCAAGTTTTATCCCTTGTTGTAGCTGGAGCTGCCCCTGACTCCTTCTCTGGGCTAGCGGGTGCCTCCTGGGGTGTTTCTGCATGGTCCGGGGCCTTGCTGCTGCCCCATGGTGCTCTTCCACTGGCACATCCCTGACAGGGGGTGGGGACTGCTCTGCTCCTTCCTTACTGGTACAATTTGCTGGTTGAGTGCAAGGTCCTGGTCATGGGAGTAAGGATGATGTCCTGCGCTTGTTAATAAGCTGCAGTTATTAGGCTGTGCCCAAGTACCAAACGCTTGCCCTGGCTCAGGCAACCATGGTCAGATGTTGAGGTGTCGGATCAGGGAGCATCTTCATAAATACCCTCTTGAAAAACCAACAAGGCACTTCCGATTTCTCTGGGTGCTGCCTCCTGCGCTGGTCACCTCCGTTGCAAAGCTGGAGGAGCCAAGCTCTGCCCTGGCGCAGCCCCATCCCCCTGCTACCGCTGCAGGGGGCTCCCTGGGGTGGGACTGGACCCCAGCAGGCTGTGGGGCAGCTGCCCCTTGGTGCTCCCCAGGGGTTCAA